TTTTTTAAGACTTTATTTATTTGACAGAGAGAAATCAGAAGTAGGCAAAGAGGCAGGCAGAGAGAAAGGGGGAAGCAGGCTTCCGTTGAGCGGAGAGCCCAATGTGGGGCTTGATCCCAAGACCCTGAGATCATGACCTGAGCCGAAAACAGAGGCCTAAACCACTGAGCCACCCAGGCGCCCCTCCATTTACTTTTTAAATACTTGAGCTATATATGCTAGTGGTTTTATATCATTGTATTAATATGGGCGGATTATTTCAATACATTTAAAACTGTAATGGCTCCAAAGTCAAAAGTTTTGACAAATTTCATGACTACCTTCTCTTTCTGTTTAGTTTGATATACTTATGTCGTATAAACGGACAACAGTGGGACAATGAAATTCTAAGTAGGTCTGGTATTATGAATGTCCTATTTTGGGTAAATATGAAACTTAACCTGACATTTATGAACTTCTGAGGAGGTAGGTGGACCATAGTTTTCTCAAAAGGATTAAACCCCAAAGGATAAGATAGTCACATAGAACATTCCAGGTTAAAAAGGTTCCTACTGAATATTAGCCATTTCCAAATACCACCGTCTTAACAGGGAAGGGAATGAAATTAGGAGATTTCAACTTTGACTTTCCCTCTGCCTATATGGGTAAAATACAAGTTCTAGGATAAAAGTTCTGCAAACTGACTTATACATACCAAAACAACCTTGTTTTTAAAATATTTTGTTTAAATAAACAAGTAATGCTATAATCATCTCTACCTTTCTACACAATGACAATTTTGCAAGAACAGTTTCCAAAGATGCTATTTGATATGTTTTATATTTTGAAAATGCAACCATACCATCTTAGCAAATGTTTAACACTGAGAGAAAATTAATAAGTAGTTTCTGTAACTGGTATCTCCAAAAGTAAGAGGAGTATTTAGAATTTCCAAATAAGCATTGCTTGAAAATCCAAGCAGTTTAAGGCAACAGCAGTAATTAGAAAGTTTAGGTCTCTGCTTAACTGTCAAACAGGGAGGGGAGCGGGGGGCAACTGCATTGGAAATATTCCTATCTTATTTTGTTAAATCACAGTATATGGAAGACTTCTTCCATGGAATTGCTAAATACCAATTTATAGTCAAACTGTTAGTAGTTCATCTGAAATTTAAAATGGGTTTAGTCAATGAACTTTGGGGAAAAAAAGGGCTATTTTTTTTTATGAAGCAGATGGGTTCCAACTTTTCCCTGCTGTCCAAATAAAGTTCTAATTAGTTCGTCTCCAACCCTCAAATAAAGATGCCTATTTCACAAGTGTAAAAATTATTTTTACAGGTTTTGTTTTAAATTATGTTCTATGACTTCTTCATCTGGGCATTGGTTTTCTAGATATAGCCATTTTAACTACATAATCTTATAGCATAAGTCACCCAGTTCAGAATGAGTCCCAGTCAAATGTAGATTGCACTATGCCAAATTTATATTCATGTGCTATGAATGGGTATATGTGACTATGCACATAATTAATAAAGCAATGTGCCTTCCTAGATATTTTCAATAGTTTATGACTGGTGAAAAAAACGAGATGCAGCAGATCAGAATTTATGCAAAAACATTCTGGGCACCTAGATTTTGGATTTCATTAGTACTGTACTATTTTATTCTTAATATTTAGGCAGTTTTGGCAACACTTTACACACAAATCACTAATAAAATAATCAGGTGATACATTCCTTATGGAATTAATACTCCATCTTCTAGTTAAATGTCACAAAATACATGGAATCAGATTTTCCCTAAGTTTGACAAAGGGTGCATAGGGATGGACAGGTGGTAGTGCAGAGACATAAAGAAACTCATTCTTAAAAATAGGGAAGGTGGTATTTCCTATTTTGACCAAACTTTTGCATAAAATAAGTTATAGCAATACACTTCTACTTAGATCCCCACTTTATGATTAGGGACTTTCTAACGAAGTGACATATGAAAGAAAGCAGGAAAATCAACTAGCATAGAGCAGACAAAGTGATTTTTAAGGTTTTTTTTTCTTTCCTAACTGGGAGCATATTTGAATTTTTTTTTTTTTTCTTTTCGTAGAAGAGGAAAACCATGTGATGCCAAATTTTACGGGTTTAAAAAATTTTTTTAAGGTAGTTTTAAATCAGGGATGCCTGGGTGGCTCAGTGGGTTAAACCTCTGCCTTCAGCTCAGGTCATGATCCCGGGGTCCTGTGATCAAGCCCCACATCGGGTTCTCTGCTCCGCAGGGAGCCTGCTCCCCGCCCCCCCGCCTGCCTCTCTGCCTATTTATGATATCTGTGTGTCAAATAAATAAAATAAAATCTTAAAAAAAATAGTTTTAAATCAGAAGGCAGATTATCCATAACATCATCCTGGTCACTTATTTGAGCTTCTACAACACATACATAGAGGACCTTCACTGACAGATATATCTATCTATACATAGAAAGATATATCTATATCTATGTATTTGCTAAGTGTAATGAATCCTCTAAACCAAGAGATTTTGTTTAATGAGTAGTAACTTTAAAAGATTTTTTTTATTTAAGACTAATTTATTTTTAACCTTCCCAAACTGAAGAGAACTATGCCCGGCCTTCTTAAGAGGTTATAAAATAACATGCAAATTTAAAAAATAAATTTTGCATTCTACTTTTGAGCATGGAATTTAGTTATATTACAGACCTAGAGTCTCCAATAAAATCCAATCACAAGCTAACATATTTATAAGGCACTATATGCCCATTCAGAATATTTAAGGGCCCTAATTAACTACTGTGAAACTTAAGACTGGAGCCCATATAAAAGTATTAGAGAAAGTTCCCCTCCCTCCTTTTAATCCATGAGAACCGTATCCTTTATTTATACTGTAGGTCCAAGAGATGTCTTTTTATCAAATTCTACCATTGAATCCTACTATTTTGCATTTGAAATACAGCCCAAGTGTGCTGAGTAAGTGAAGTGTACAAATTGTATAAGCTTTTATGCAGTGGGCTGGAGAAACTTTTAATTGGATCCTTTTAATTCCCTTCAACTCTGAGCTGTGTGACGACAAACGTTGACACTGCCTCCCCTTTTTCAATTAACTATGATCATGTTTATCATCAGAAAATGTATTTTGCCAAAGCATAAGCTATTCATCCTTCTCAGCTTATTACACAAGAAAATTCATCAGGTTTTGACACCTGTTTCAGTAATGGATACTTTTCCTAGTTAAAAAAAAAAAAAAGGAACTCTGCCCTATTATATACACAATTTATTTCACAAAGTTGTTAAATAGTAAAATCAGGTGAATTTTGTTCATATAACAATTTTGTTCATTGCGTGCTAAGGTCATACAACCTCAGCACAATTTGGTGATTCCATACTGCCATTCGCGGGAGTAAAGTGGCTGCTAACTTAGCAACTGTAGGAATGTATCTTTTGAATATATTTCTTAAAACGTGGACTTCATTGTTCATTTCTAAGCCATTTTCCTAGTAACTTGCCCAAAGATCTCCAGGTCAGCAATGACTACTATTCTTCTGATGGAAAACTACTACTCTAGGAAACCGAATGAAAACCGGGAAGGGAAGCTCACACCCTCAGAGCCGCACCTGCATCAGGTGGCTCCTCCACCTCCATAGCTAGGATGTTTCCAAATGCACTCCAAGTAAGGTACAATTCCCCTACATCCTAGTTATGGGGTTCTGGCTTCTATCTTTAGGCTACTAGAGGACCAGAAGCGAAATACGACTCCACGTGAAACCAATCCGGGGAGCGGTCAGCACCGACCGCCAGCCTCACAAGCCCCGGGCGTTCGCTCTAACTCCACCGGAGTGGCGTTTTCAAACCCGGCCGGGAGAGGGAGGGATCAGGAACGTAATGTGACGGGCTCAAGTGACAGCGTCCTCTCCCCTGCCCAACCCACCCGGGCGGCGCTCCCTCCTGGTGGCAGTGCGGTGCTGGCGCCGGCCAGGTATATTCACGCCTTGCTCCCCCGGGTGTGGACACACTGCCCGTTCCAGGAACCGCGTCAGAGCAACCCCCCCCCCCACGCACTAGTCGCGTCTCCACGCTGGCGCGGGAGATGGGTGGGAGGCTTCCCCAGGTGTTTTGGCGGGTTTCCGGACACGTGCGCCTTTCGTCCTCCCCGCTTCCCCGCAGCCTGGGCAAAGCCCACCGCACCAGCTCACGGAGCAGCCGAGCCGCCTGCGACGCTGCTCACCTCCGTCCCCGTAGGTCTCCACGCCGTACCCGTCCTGCAGCCCGTTACTCCAGGTACCCTCGTAGCGAGCGGGGGTGCACAGGCTCTGCCGGACCCCGTAGCGCCCCTTGAAACCATGTGACCACTCCCCCCGGTACATCCACTTGCCCTTCGTCTCCACCCCCAGCCCGTGCCGCTTGCCCTGAGCCCAGTAGCCCTGGTACGTGTTGCCGCTGGGCCAGGTGTAGCCTCCAGCCACCTCGAAGCCGTGCGACCAGGAGCCCGAGTACTCGCCCTGGCCCTTGGGCCCCGTGCAGATGCCATGCCCGTGCGCTTTGCCCTCCTCCCAGCCGCCGCAGTAGGTGCCGCCATCGTCGAAGTCGAACCTTCCGCCCGTCATTCGGGGGGCAGCCCCGGCGCGCTCCCCGCGGGGGCACGGACGCGGGCAGAGCTGGGCACGGCAGGGTGTAGCTCGGGGATGGGGGCCCGGCGGGCGAGCTCACGACAGCGCCCCGGGCAGCTCGCGCCGCCGCTCGGCTCCAGTCCGACGCCGCCCCCGTCCTCCCCTCTTCTTTCGCCGCCGCCACCGCCGCCTTCCTCCTCCTCCTCCTCCTCCGCCTCCTTCCCCGCCGCCGCCCGGGCCAGCGCCGCGCGCGAGAGGACAGCCCAGGCTCCGGAACAGACCTTCAGCTGCTCCCGCCCGCCCACGTGAGCCGGGCGCCACCCCGCGCCCGCCCCTCGTCCCCTCCCCGGGCGCCGAGGCCCGGCCCCGCGGCGCTCCGGCCCCACCCGGCCCTGCCCCCAGCCCCGGGAGCCAACGCTTCCCCCGCGGGCGGGCGGGCGCGGGGAGCGGTTGGCGCGCGTGTGTTCGCGCAGTGGGATGCCGGTGGGAGGGCGAGTGTACCCAGGGACGCGCGCGAATCCCTGCGGGTAGACGAAGGCGCGGCTGCATGTGTGGGGGCAGCTCGCGGGCTGCGGAGCCTCCTGTGTTTGTGTTTGGGGTTTATCAAAGTGGTTAAGCTCCTGTAAGTGCGACCACGTGTGTGTTGAGGGAAAACTCCTGTATGCGTGTTTGTCTGCATGGGGTTTGTAGTTGCATTTTTTTTTTTTCCGGCATTCCAACTTGTGTACTGTTGCATTTGTCATGCTCAGCTGTCATCATGAATTAACATCTCCTAGATATATGTGTGCGTGTGATATAAATCTCTGGCAGCCTAGATATAATTGTGCAGAATGTTCTTTTACACCTACCCATTTCTAAGCACATGTGTTTGCATTTATTTAATGAAGATACAGGGGAAGAGCAATGTAATTTGAAAAAGCACAGATTAAATCGGTCAGCTTTTCATTTGTAATAAGGAACAGGATGGTTTTAATCTATCTTTGCAGGGGTATGTGCAATTTCCTTTCATATCAGAGCCCCTAATGCCTCATTTATTCTTCTGACAACTTAGAAATTCTTTAGCCAAGAGCTATGTACCCAACAGGCAGACTGCTCAGTCCGTGGATATTGTGTAAATGTCTGGAATGTACACCTGGTACCTCTCCCCTGGTATCCACAGTTTAACAAAGTAAATAGAAGATCTCAAGGAGGAGTATGGTAAGTAAAACACGGCTCTAAACTTACAAAAAGCCAGTGACCTAAAAAACTGGGGACAGGTGTCAGCAGATCTACTTTCCAGCTACAACACTGTTTTGTTGAATTCACTTTAGGCAACTCTTTTAAATTTGAAAACCTCTATTTCACCATCCGCCAAATGGGAATGACAAGATTTGTTTTTCTCTTCCTATGTGAGATATTAACTTGAGTATGTCGTGGTACTGTTCAAATCCAAGAATTAGAGATTTGGTAATAGGCAAGTTGAATCAGTATAGACTCCGCATTGGTCTCAACCACCAAAATACTTATGGGAGACACCTTTCTGTGGTTCATAGTCCCGGGGTCTGAGGTTGCCTCTAGAGGACACTGCTTTGCCAGTTATTCATGACATTTCTTAGGCTGAGAGGCTTTTGGATATTGGGGGAGCACCGGAGGCTGCCAAATTTCTCTCCGTAGGTATTTGATAATCAGAAAAAAATGATCTGATGTCAGGATAGGGAGCAGGGAAAGAATAGACTCAACTATGCAGAAAAAGGAACAGAAATTGACCTTGATTGGCTCTATCTCAGGACTGGAGCTGGCCCCTCCTGCTTCTCTCGCTGAAATACTGGAAGAAAAATCTCCGTTTACACAGAACCAAATCACCAAAGAGAATTAGAAACCCTCACCCATGGCACTGCCTGCAGAGTTGCCAGGAATAGTGCTTACCCTAGTGGCCTGAAATAATTACGCATCTTGCTCAGCATCTTGTCCTGGACTAGGGATTGATTTAGGCCACTGGGAAAACGAGGGACCAGGTCTTTGCTGCTGAACCACAATTCCATTTCTCTACTATGGGATACGCCAGGATCAGGAGCTAGCATAGATGGACATGTTGCCATCAATTTGGGGGGTTCTATTTGGTATGAAAAACAGTGTGGTTGCTCAAACCCAACATGTTTTTCCTCTTTCTAAACTGGCTTTTTTCATGAAGTAACCTTTGTTCTTTCCGTCTTTCTTTCTTTCTTTCTTTCTTTCTTTCTTTCTTTCTTTCTTTCTTTCTTTCTTTCAATCTATACCTGTATGTGTTAGGATCCATATATGAATATTTCAGGGCTAGGTTTTTGTTTGCAAGCACAGTGGAAACTTTTTTTTTTTCTTTTCTTAATGAGCTCTCACTGCAAATGATAGATTTTCTGAAACAAACTAGCACAGAGAAAGTGTCTGGCTTCTGTGATGGATGTTTAGTCCATCTGTGGTGGGTGGACAAAGGGCGAGGATACACATAACATTTGGATAGAATGTAGAGGTTTGGGGAACCAAAAAGATAGGGCCATTTATCTCTTAATCTATCTCTTGCTATCCATAGTAGATATCTTCCTTGGAAGGCACCTTCATTAAAAGATGATATTGGATACACCAAACATCTAATACAAAATTTCATCTAATCGTAATCCTAACCTGAGTCTGCCATTGGCTTTCTTCACGGAAGAAAATTAGTATTGAGTTTTGGTAGCTTCTAGAACTTTTTGCAAAGCAGCCACGCAAGCCATGCTTCCATTTGTCTGCTGCCATCACAGTGGAATGTTTCCCCAATCACACTGATCTGTTCATTCATGTAAGTGTTCAGGTTCAATAGCAATGGTGGGAGAAGACTGAGAAAGAGAATGAGGAGGAGGAAGAGGTGCTGAAGATGATGGCAGAGCAGGTAGTAGGCAGTGGAATAATGTTGCAATTCACCAGTCAGAGTTAGTCATGTCCTTATTTTCCCTCTCACTCTGAACCTTTGCCCTGGATAAGGGGGAGTTGAATTTAGCTTTAAGGAGGGATTAGTAAGAAGAGAATGTGAATGTTGGTTTGACAGGTGGGGTGGGGGAGGCCACTGGAGCCCAGGGTCTGACAACCACTGGAGCAGTTTCTTTTTCCCCATGCTCAAAACTCAGCTAGTCTAGGCTTCCAGTCGCCCAAATTTTGTAACCAAATGTAAGCGTTTGAGTGTAAACGTCTAGTAAAAACCTCTGGTGAGGATGTTTTGTTTAGAATTTAGTATTTTCTAATGAAGGCGTGTTTAAAATTGTATCGGTGACTTCATTTTATTTACATATGAGAATTAATTATTGAAATACTTGATTAAAATTTACAAATGACAGAAGCTAATCTGTAGGTGTTTATTGTCTAAAGTGTGTTTGTTGCTTCAAGGTGTGTTTATAAAAGCACATACAATTTAAATTACTGGATTAAGTAAATCAAAATGATTATTACTAGCATATTTGTAATAAAGCATTCGTAATGATTTAAGAAGTTCATCCACAATAAATAAAAAGAAATATGGTCATAAGCTTTGCAGATTACTTGATTTCAAAAGAAGAAGAAAATCCCCAAATTAATGGTCTTCACAATTTAGAAGGCAGATTAGATGCCAGATTCAGTGTTCAGTTCTTTAAATGCATTAATTCATTTAAATCTCATGATAATGGGATTAATACTAGTATTATAACTCTTTTACAAAGAAGAAAATTAGGTTTAAGACATTCATGTGCCCAAGATCATTCCAGGTAGAAACGGTCCATCTGGGATTCCAACCAGGTCTGTCTGACTCTGGAGGTGTTTCTCTTATTTATTACTGTCCTTTATTGGAACAAGGATGAGAGCTTTCAGGTGGGAGAATAAAACAGGCAGGGCTGGTGAAGGTGAATTTTATTTCTTACTTTTTAGAGTAGCTGGCCACATGAATGGTGATGTTACTGTCTAGAATTAAAGAAATGGAGAAAGAAGAGTAAATTAGAGAGGTGGGAAGATAGGTTCACTCCAGAGAAGAAAATCCAGCAATATATCCCAGAGGAGATGCCCAGAAGGCAGTTGGGTAATGCAGGTGGAAAACTAGAAATAAATTATTCAATAAGTAAATAATCCTTGATTTTCTCCTCTCTCTGGCAGCTGCTCAGTAGCGCTTCTTTGGAGACTTGCATGGTGCACTCACTCCCCCGTGGTCCACTCTCGTCTCCTACTCTAGAAGTCCCTCCCCCGTGTGCATCCAGGACTGGTGGCTCATGCTCTCTTTGCCCCACGCGCTATCCCCTGTCATTGTCCTGAGCAGGTTCATCCTGCTTCACAAGCTGTTGTCTTTCCCAGTGCCATGACCTTTATCTTAAAGTCCTCAGACACAGCCTGGACCTTACTTGGACCAAGACATGAGCCAACTCTGAAAACTGGAAATTTACAATCCTACTCTTTGGCAACACTCTCTGGTCTTTCCCATTCAGGAAAAAGCCATTGATTTGCCAAAGTCTCTACTCCTTCAATATGTTACACATCTTCTTAGCCCTTCCCGGCCTGAAGGCCCTATCATACTGTGCTTTCCATAGTGACTTCCTGGTGCCCACCCCATCTCCAACCTCATTCCCTGCTCCTAGGAAGCCCCTTCTGGAGGCAATCACCTCAAGTTGCCATTGCGAACCCTGGGGACAAGACTCAGGTCAATCCCTCCACACATACACAGCAGATCTCTTCCCAGGCAACTTCCAGATGCCTGTCACCTGAGCCCTGCTCAGCCCCAGCTCTTTCCTACTGAGCAGAGGCCTTGTCTTCTTCCTCAAGAGGAGGAGAGCTAACTCAGGAACATCTTCCTTCTTTCTTCCTCTCTCCAAAGCTTATCACTGGTTCTCATTTTCTTCCTTTCCCCACCCACTCCATCCCAGAGGAACATATATTCTTTTTCCTCTCCTTGTTCTGGGTAATTCCTTCTCTCATTTGAATATGTTGTAATTTCTCTTCTTCCATCCAACGACCATGCTCATGCGTTTTCCACGTAAAAACGGTCCTAATTTCTTGGTCCTGTTTTCACCTCAAGTCCTCTGTTCTTCTCAAAACTGCTGACCTCCTTGAAAGTGTACTATATGCATATAACATATATATTAAAGTACCATGCATATATATCATATACATTCTCATATCCCCCCTCTCATTCTCATGCCGCTCGATTTGAGTTCTATCCTCACTAGTCTGGTGAAGCTTATCTAGCCAGGAGGGACCTTCTAGATGACAGATAAAAGGGCATCTCTTCAGTTTTGTTTTTTTTTTAAAGATAATATTTTAAAGATTTTATTTATTTATTTGTCAGAGATAGAGAGAGCAAGCACGCGCACGCGCATACAGGCAGGAGGACCAGCAGGCAGAGCAAGAAGCAGGCTTCCCCCTGAGCAGGGAGCCTGATGCAGGACTTGATCTCAGAACCCTGGGATCATGACCTGAACTGAAGGCAGATACTTAACCGACCGAGCCACCCAAGCACCCCATCTCTTCAGTGTCTATCCTGCTAGTGGCGGCTGTGAATTCGAAACTTGGAAGCAGGTCTCTCCCTCAGCTTCTGAAAAACCCGTGTCATTTGCCTCTGCTCGCTCTCCCGTCACTCCAGCCATCTCATTCCCTGTATGTTCTTCTTATCCCTTTCTAGTCTCCTTGATTTTAGGCTGGCTTTTGTGTTCTAAGCATCAGCTTCTTGGTACCGGGATTTTGAATAATTGCTGGATACTTGTTGGCTTACCTTTCACAAGTAGGCAATCCTGCCCTAGGGGCTAAGAGTCTAATTTAGAAATAGTCTAATTCAGATATAAAAACACCAGCTGAGCCTTTTTTAAGTCTCAAGGGCAGTGCTTTGGTTTCTTCCCATGACTTGTCCCTTGTGGCTCTTTGCCTGCTCTTCCTAACGGGCAGAGATCCACGTGGGCTTAGCGTACGTGTCCAAGGATGAGGCTCACAGAGGGTTTCAGGAAAGTTCTCACAATGACAAAGATAAAAACAGATTAAAGGGAGACTTAGAAGAGGCAGTAAGCTTGAAGACACAGGGTGGATGGCAGGTTTGTCCCGAGGCCCCAGGACCCGAAGCAAAACATGAAGTGTATGTGTACTTGTCTGTGTGGGTGTGTGTCTGTCTCTCCGCATGTATCCATGATTCCTGGGTTAGGTTTGGAGACTTAGAGAAGTATAAGGCCCGGACCTTGCTCCTAAGGGTATAAAGTATC